ACCATTTACTGAGGAACTAATAATTACTGAATCACTACAAGACAATTAATTTATGAATTTTGTGAAATAGGTATATTAAGTAAAATGAAGCTACATATTTGTTTGTGATCAGCTGCTCTGTGTTTCCCAAGCAGTCCCATGATCAGACTGGGCTTGGTGTTCCCTGTTACCCATTAGTTCCTGGTTGGTTCCTGGTTAGTTCCCAGGATGTTTGATGAAGTTTATTAAAAAATGTGTTCCTCATTTTGAGTTCTAGAAAATTACAGTTAATCGATATCCAGAAAAGGAGAGAGCATGGAATTAGGAAAAGTGTTCCAGGGAGTGGCAGGACTACCAAAATTATGCAAAGATTGCACTGATGAATCTTGTAGGAGTTCAACCAGAAGGGGAATCTGAAGAACTCCAGACCTCATCTGGTATCTGGAATAGAGTATGATCTATGGGTTGAATAAAAAAATCCCTTCAGGCAATGGAGCTAGGTTGGTTGGAAAAGTTTTTTTTTAATTTTTTAAATATAAAACTAAATGTGTATGAATTATCTTCATTTCATCTGATATTAAAATTGTTTTTATCTGGAATAATATATTCGGACAGAAGGCTAAAACAGATTTCGTCTATCAGGCATCATTAATTTAATAGAAAGCTTAATTTCTCTTGCCAAATGGACTGTTTAACACTTTTTTTTGTCCACTGCTTTTGAAAACAGGAAGCAGCTTTTCCTGAAGGTACATTATTCATTCTTTGTGATTATTGATCTTGGAGTATAAGAAATTATCTTAATATTTTGTAAATATCTCTTCCTTTTTTAAAAGACTGCATGCAAATAAAGAAAAACTCTTCACAAGAACCCAGTGGAGTTTATGAGATTCAGCCTGCGGGAGTCGATACACACTTTAAGGTACCAAAACTAAAAACCTTTTTTGATTTGTCACTTTAACTGACAGGTTATTGACATATTTGATCTCTATATATAAGACTTTAAATGTAATACTATAAATTTTGTATTTATATGAATTGAACCAAGTGTTACCAAGTGTAATTTTTTCCCTGTGAGGTATTATCTCCATTAATATGTCCAATTTATACAGTGGTATCAAATGACAAAGTCCTCGGAAAAAAAGACTAGTTTATTCATCTGAAATCTTCTTTGTGTATTTAAATAAGCAGTCGTGAAAAATATATCCCCTAAAGCTTTCAAGTTAGAACCAAAACCTTCATGGCATGTTATTGGTATTTTCCCCTAAGGGAACTCATATTAACAGTGAGCATTTGCTAGCTATGACTCATCCTTTCTGGAAAGATCTTTAGGATTTATGCACCAGTTCAAGTCAAATTTCTAATATGCAATAGTCCCTAAGTTTACTTTTATAAATGACCTACATAAGTGAGTTAGGTATTTTGTCAAATGTATTGTTTTTTTTTCTTTTTTTCTGTAAACATTTTGCAGATATATCTATATATCACCAGATGGAAGATTAGGAACTTTTACATTTCTTTCTTTCAGGAATTAATACAGCAAATTCAGCACTTTTCCTCCCTGTAATGATGCTTGTGAAACTCTTACTGAATATCTTCATACCTACATTTAAATTGCAAGTCGAATATGAAATTGAATAGTTTCAAGGGGTGTTTAAGGTTTCATTATCCTCTTATGAATATCTGTTTTGATAAGGCAAACTTCATTATGATATTTTTTAAAATATAAACCTATTTTAGATTCACATTCAACTCTTTTAATCCGAGCAGAAAACAGACTAATTTTTATTCAGACTAATTCTGTTAAACAGACTAATTCTGTTCTAAAGGATTTACCATTGAGAAAGTTATGCTTTTAAAAAAAAAAAAAATATATATATATATATATATATATATCTTTTGTAGTTAAGAAAACTAAATGCCAATTTTTTTCTTGGGTTTTAGACCAGTCAGTATGAATCTTAAATCTTTTTAAAATATTTTCTTCAGTACAAGCACTGACAAACTAGCTCACAGTTTTAAATACAGTACATCAGTGTGTCATCTGTATGAAGGGACATCCTCTGCTAAACCTGATTTTGATGTTTTAAACCTTACCAAAAAGTTTTTGATAGTATTTTTAAGGGTATATTAATCCCTTTATGTTTGTAAAACTGAGACCCATTTGCATTAACTTGGCTTTCTGTTTGGTACCAATGATTTTCTAGCCCACTCAGTCTTTTGATAAATGTTTTAAGTTAATCTAATATCATAATTGCATGTTCCAAAAAGGCTTAGAAAACATGCATATTGAGTCCAGTGGATTTTTTTTTTTTTTTTTTTTTACTTTTTTGGAATGACTATGACCTGGATGACAGAATCTTCACCAGCAAGTGCAAGTTCAACAATATCTTTATCATTGTTTTAATGTATTTTTAAATTTTAAAACTATTTCCATTTTAATACTATTTTAATAATAATAGATGTTGGAGATCGGCCAGTTTTTCCAGTGTAGTCCTGTTTCTCTGGCTGTTACTGGCTGGATGTGCTCTCTTCATCCTCTGACATGGGAGCTGACTCAGAGCTCGTCTGCCTGGCTGTGTGTTTCCTGGACGGGGCCGCCTTTTACAGTTGCTTTTTGTATCTCTACTTCTGTCTTCTTGAACCCCAGTCGGCCCCGGCAGATGGCCGCTCACACTGAGCCTGGTTCTGCTGGAGGTTACTTCCTGTTAAAAGGGAGTTTTTTCTCTCCACTGTCGCTACAAGCATGCTTTGTGTGAGGGATTGCATTCGAGTCAATGAGTCGATGCAATCAACTGTTTTTCCTTAGATAGAAAACTTTGAATTAATTTGACTGGATGATCTGGTGAACTGTAAAGTGCCTTGACATGACATGTGTTGTGAATTGGCGCTATAGAAATAAACTGAATTGAATTTAATACCAAATATTCCACATTATGCTGGAAGAAAAGTTTTCATTTTAATTTTCATAATTTGAAAACATCCTTTGCTTTTTAAGCAAACGTTGATAATGTGTATACGTGCCTATACTTTTTTCTTCTTTTAAAAGCACTAAATAATTAGTGCAGGACAATAAATAGAATGCAATTAGAATTCAAGTCTGATGTGTCGATTTTCTGAACGCTCTACTCAGGTGTACTGTGAGATGGGGCAAAATGAAGGGTGGATAGTTATTCAAAGACGGACAGGAGGACAAGAGTCTTTTCACAGAGAATGGGAAGAATACAAACGTGGTTTTGGATCCCTGGCAAGTAAGCAAGCGGTCTTTATATCAAATTTTAACTGTATTGTTGTCAAAAAAACAAAAATTAGGGGTGCAATTTCCCTTTTTAAATTCTGAAGGTAATGCTAAAGCAGTTGCATTAATCTTAGCTTCATCCATTATTTATTGAAGTAAATAAAACTCATAGCCTTCATGTATCCTGTTAACTTTCTAGATGACCATTGGCTTGGACTGGAGAAAGTCCATCTTTTGACCAAGAACAAAACTAAAAAGTGGACTTTGAAGGTGGACCTGTGGGACCATGAAGGTGGCATGGCTTTTGCTGAATACAATAACTTTACTCTGGGAGATGAGCAAACAGCTTATAAACTGGAGGTTGGAAGATATAGTGGAAATGCAGGTACTTCAGCGTGTTTCTTAGCTGTCTATTAAAATAGAAAAAAAAAAAATGTGTGCTGTCTTAAGCTCTTTGCAGCAGATTAATTTTGAATAGAGAATAAAAAAAAGACTTTTGGATCATTACTGCTGACACAGCATTGATGTTTAATTGATCTTACAAACAGAGAAATGTCTCTTTTAAAAGGTGACGCTATCCGTGGTTCCAAGCCCCGCATGGACCAGAATGGCTTTGGCTTTAGTACCATCGACAGCGACCATGACGGCTGCTCCCCTTGCATCTTCGATGACATTGCAGAAGAAGAATGTGCCGCATCAGAGGGGGGAGGTTGGTGGTACAGCCGATGTGGCTCTGCAGCTCTAAACGGTGACTGGCATCCTTCTGGGGACCACATCTATTGGGTTTCTGGCCTTCACTGGCACACCTGGAAACCAGTTCCTTATTCAGCAAAGGCAACCAGAATGATGATAAAACCCGAGTGATTCCATTTGCCCGTCCCATTTTACCCCTTTGCATATTTAGATTACGGATTAATTTTGTGATCAGATATTCTCTTGTGTTTAGCACATTGTGAGACAGCAAAAATAAAACCTTTTGTGCTTTTAAGTGGTTTTCTTGTCATCGACAAGTGAGAAATACTCCATTCAGCATTTTACTTTTGATTTCGTACTTTACAAATAATTAAAGGTTTTAAAAAAGGGTAACGGTTTTGAATACGGTATAATGTTATGTCATCTGCATAAAGGAAAATCTTGAAAGGAATAATAGGTCTTTATCTCACACAAAAAAGTCCTTGGTGAAATGTTTTTCTTTCAAGGTCAAAGCCAGTTTAGCATTTATTTACAGAATTAATGTATATAAATAACAACACAATTGATTGATTTTTTAATTGTGTTATTTTGGAGGGCAATAAATGGAGCACATATGAGCAACCAGTGTCTAACATCGAACGTCAGATATGACATTTTTTAAAAACTTGTATAAGATGGAGGTTACGTTTCTTTGAAAGTCCTGAAAAGAGAAAAAAATAAAACCATTAGACAGGTAGGAGGCTTAAGGCTAGTATTTATTTTTCTATTTGGGCACTTCTAAAACAGTTTTAAGAAGAATGTACCTCCATAATTTAGTTTGCCATCATTTTCTTAGGCAAAAATCCTCCATCTTTAACTAAAGTTGCAATGTTAGGGAGGCCAGCTGATAAACAGTGTGGAGGGATAATTTTCAAACAAGGACAGAAAAAGCCTCAAGAATTTTCTTTAATGCTGAAACACAAATGTTGGCGTCAAAGTTAATACTTTGGTTTCCTGGACTTATGAAGTTACCAGGGAGATTGATAGAGGTAATATTTACCAGGAAGAAACCAAACAGTTGCTGTTAAGTAATGAATCTTAATTATTAAAGTAAGTAAACCTTTTTTATTTGATTTTAAAATTAGTGCTCCATTGCTCTTTAGATTTATTTCCTTTTCTGTAAGCCTTTGCAATGCGTCTTCCTATATAGGGATAAATTAACCAATGAAGAAAACGCTACAGAACCTAAATAAAAAAAAAGACAGCAAGAAAAAAATGTTATTCTGTCATTTTTAATGGCAAGTCCAGGTTGAGACGATTTTAACCACCGATGAAAACACTGACTGCATACCCTTTCCGTGCAAATCTAGTAAAGAAAAGTCCAACTTTTTGTTGCCATGAGGTAGAAGTACTATAGGTGCAATCATTCATCATTAGCTCCATTAGTTTTGTATTTTCCCAATGCTAATCTTTAGGATCTTGTATAATTTCCAGGTAGAGGACATACATAAGATAAAAGAACATCAAGCATATTCTTGATTATGTCAGACTGTGGATGGAGTTTGTGTGGAAGGTGATGGGCCAGTACCATATCCCAAGCATCTACTAGTTTGACGTTAACTCCTTTAAAAATTTCTCTTAGAGCCTTGTCGCGTTGTAGGGAAAACCAGTCGCTGTTCGTCAAAGCCTCATAGAGGGTCATCTCTTTGGGGTTTGCAGTCCTGAGGAAGACCAACGTACCTGGAGCTCTAGTCAAGAGTCTCACCACTGCTTCCCGAATGTTCAGCAGACGTCTAACGTAAACCTCAATAGGGAAAGTGCTGAAGTGAGCCCAAATGCCAATAACTACAACAGTGTTTTCACCCCCAGGGAGGCGATCCAGCTCATTGGCAATGTATTGTAGCTGACTAACAAGCGAGCTGCCAAAACGGATGGGAGGACCGTGGCTGCGGAAGGTCACCAAAATGTTGTTCACATAATCCAAAGCCAATAAAGGGCCACTTTGCTTTGAACTTTGCAGGTCAAACTCCTTGAGATCTAGAAGAGATAGAACATTAGACTGCAAAATTAATCAATATTACCTACTGTGAGAGCTTTTTTGGGGGGGCATATATACCTGGCAAAGACTGCATTAGATACTCATACCACTGCCTAACAGTGGAATCCCCATAGATGTGAATGCTTTTGCCTTTCAGACACAAGCTGATTGCTGTGGAGTTAAACTGATGAACTCTGGTGCCATCTAGTGCTTGCCATGCACCTTGATAATAATAACCAGAGGGTCTTGTCTCAACAGTGCTTCGGTTTTCTTCTGAAAGGTGACAAAAAATAAAAAGGAGTAAACATTTTTCTATCCGGCCAAGTTATTCCCTATATATAAATCTATTTTTTCAGCATTACTTTGAGCCAGTTCGTCTTTTTCAACTTTATATTTAATATTCCGGTAAAGAAAAGTCTTGAAAATGACAGAATTTTAACACAATAGCTGAAGGAGTAACATATTCTCAATTTAAAAACAATTTTTTTTTTTTTTACCAGAGTATAATAAGGGATTCTTACATTCTGAATCAGGAGAAGAAGAAAATAAACTTCAACTGTTATTGTTGACTGTTTTACTTTCATATATAGTTTACCTTTTAGTTTTGGCAAAACAGTGATGTAAGCAGGTCCTGAAGATGGAATGGGGACTTTCATATTGACACCACTAAAACAAAGCAATATAAGCAAACAACAATAAAATGTGTAATCATTTATGTAAGAAATCTTTGCATCTCATTGACATTTTTAATGCATTTTAAATTTTGTTTACATTTCTGTTTTGTTTACATCTGTCTGTCCCTCAGCTCTTTGTTAACTGTTTTTTTTTTCTTTTGCAATCTTTTTCTTTGTTTTTGCCATGGCCTGACAAATGCACTGCCTAAGTGGACATTAATGTAACCACCAGATAAACCATGACCCAAATAAATGTTCATTTTCACTGAATATATTATCATCTTGTCTGGTTCTGTGTACGTTCAGGCAGTTAGTTTCATTTTTTTTATTTAAAGAAAAGAAAAACACAAGTATTTTTGTTTTTTCAACCAAAAACAGAAAACTGGTAACAAAAGTTATACGATTTCTCCTTTTTCTAAACGAAAATGAGAAAAACATCCTCAAGGATGAATTTTTTTTTTTTTTTTTTTAAGTGACCTGAGAGCCCATTGTGTAGAGAGGCCGAAGTCCATAATAGTGTATATTATGAATTGTGAATTTATTTGATATATTCAGACAAGCTTAATTCTGACTTTGTTTTGTATCTGCACTAAAAACCCATAAACATATGAAGGTCAGAGAGATCAGTGTTTACCATGCTGACAATCATGGCTACTTGCTTCATTAAAAGAAATCAATCAAGAATGAGCACTCATTACCGTTCATTATCGGTCCAATTGCTCATTTTAGTAAATAAATAAAATCAAAACAAAAATACTGGTGTTTTTGTATATGTAATGGTTGATTAAACAAAAAAAAAAAAAAAAACTGCCTGAATGAACATTGACCTCTTTATTGACTAAACAGCTAGGTTAGGAAAAAAGTTTTATTTGATAGAAAAAAGAATTTTCCTCCAATGACATGGTCGTTGTTCTTGGAGATAAAATTCAGGATTAGTTTCAAACCTTTTGTTCAATGTCAGGAATCTTCACATCAAGCTAAATCTTTCATTAAAAAGCAGCTTTGAGTTTGTATGGTGGCGCATTTAGACTTTTTTTGCATCTGATTTTTAAACTCAACAAAATGATCGGAACATTTACCTTTGAAACAGCTTCTCCTCCATTGGGTTTATGTTTTGTCTGAATCGTCCTTTGGAGTGGGTCATCCTGTTGTCGCAGCCTAAAATCTTTGGCTTATAGCAAAACCACGGCTCCCCTGTCTTAATGTCAGTGTAGTTACACAGTTTTTGTTGGTTTGAATTAAGACAGACATTGCAGGTGGTAGTTTCACTTATTGAGCCCAACTTGAAATGACTTTGAAAATAGATTCTGTCAGGCTGCTCCTGGGTCAGCTTATGCAGCACTGTGACTGCCTCGCTGGGGTGAACCAGCGTCACCTAAAGGAAAACAGAACAAAACATTTTTACACAAACCAAACCCTTTCGCAAGAATGATTTTAGTATCTATAAAAGACATAAATCGAGGCTGCCTAGGGTTTAGGCCATAGAGCTTGGAGTCCAGAGGTTCTGAGTTCAGGCCCCACTGGGTCCCTAAGCAAGACCCTTAACCCCACACTGCTCTCCGGGCGCCGCACAGTGGCAGCCCACTGCTCATTTTGTTGCTCTGTACTTGCTGCAGTGTAATGACAATAAAAGCTGGGAAAAGATAATGCAACAACCCTTCAAAGTATTCAATCTTTTCTGTTAGTTGACGCTCTTCATGGTTAAATGGTGCAGTAACAAAACTAAACAGAGTTGATAACAGAAGATATGGCAAGACAATCAAAGCATTTGAGTGTTGCATAAATCCTGAACAGTCCAGGGGTGGCTAATCAATAGTGTCATAAGGTTTATGTTGTATTTTATATTAAATGAAGTAAACAAGACATTTTTTTTCTTCCTATTTTCAATCGGCTACTAAAACTTTAGGTAATAGAGTTTGGTTGGTGAAGCGTAATATGTTCATGAGTTTCAAAATGGCTACTGAAATATTATTTAATGATATATATTATATTACATTCCTACTTTTAGACATTCATTTTGAATTTATTTTTTGTTATCTTAAATTCATCAATGTCTTTGTTTAGGTTATAACGATATAAATGTAAACATGATTTATGAAAGCATTTTGGAAGTTTTTATTTCTATGCTATATACTTTAACTACTCAATCAGCAATTAGAACTAAATGATCTATAAGTGTCCCAGCCAAAAACTTTTATACATTTAGTCTAAAAGAAAATACTCTTTACATATTTGTCAAAGATTGAGCTGCAACCACGTTAATTTGCTAATTAGTCATGTTGGCTTGGCCATTAACACACCGTTACATTAAAACATTAAAAAAAGAAGTTCCTTCTACTTTTTATTTGTCACACTGGGAAGTTTTTGGTTACTTGAATTGAGAAAAACATAACAGATAAAATACAACTCATAAGAATACAACAATTGGCTCCTAATAAAAACCGATGTTGGCAGCATCTGAATGTCTTTTCAATGCTAATGATGCTATGATGTTAATTTCATCATTTTAGTTTAAAATCTACATCAAAACAGAGTTAGTGGCACTTTGAGTAAAGACACTGCAGTAAGTTTTAGATTTATGCAAAATTATTTTTTATCCTAGTTAAAACGAAATATTTATAATTCTGAGTGTATAGGAACTCTTTTATTTAAAACAAACATTCAATAAATGTCATTACGTAAAAGCTATCAGACCTGGATGTTTCTGAAAAAAAGTTTTATAGTTTTCCCAATTACTGCTAAAGTTTAAAACTCTTGTAGAGAATTGCATTAGCACCCTCTTGTGTCATACCAAGTTAGTACTTCCTCTATGAAAATGTAGACTTATGCATGTTTAAGCCAAGGTGTTTTCAGTTACCCTTGACAGTAGGAATTAAGAGAAGAATAATTATCTGTTTTGCACAGATACCAGTATCAGGTGGGGCCCTGATCCAGCACTAAAATGGAGGTATCGGCGAGTACCAATAAATAGGGCACCGATGCCAATTTGAGAGCCAAAAGTTAATTTATCTATTGTCACCCATTCCAGGTAGGCAATAAAAAGTTCTACTGGATTCGCTTTGTATTAGTCTTTTTCCTGCTTCACAAAGGAAGGCAGCAGCTTGACAAAGCCATGATGGCAATTATTTTACATCCAAGTAGCATGCAGTTCTTCATATAAACACACATCAATTTCAAACAGATGGTATCGGTATGGGACAATACTGCAGAGCCAATTATCGGGTATCGCTATCGGGGCCAAAAAATGGCATTGGCGCAACACTACTAATTATATAAAGGTTTGTATTACCTCAACTTGTGCACTTCCTTCCCAAAGTAAAGGGAATACAGCGAAGTAGAACCCGTTGAGATGATCCACCATATGCCCTGCCACCCCTGCATGAAGAGTCGAGTTGTGCAGCCGAGCAAATAGAACATCCCCTCCGGTTCTCTTGGTATGACCATGAAAGTCACAGATTCTTATCAAAACCCTCAGCTGATCCCCCACTTGCCAATTCCCACCCTTGCTCCGTGGGAGGATGGTGAAGGTGCTATGATCAGGATCACTTGTGTCATTCAGGGAAAAGTTTGATTTCAATGTTGGGGTTTCAGGCCAGTACATAGCATCTTTTAGGCCATCTAGGATATAGTCCTCCTTGGGTGAAAGTGAATTGAATGAACAGATGTTGAATAGCTTAGGAAGCTCAGTGGAAAGCTTTGGATCAACTGTAGCACTCATTTTATTCTAAAAGGAGAGAAAGTTTTAGTTTCAGTAAAACAAAAATAACAACTCTCATAGACTTCACAGTTGTTTTCCTTTTTTATATATATAGACATCCCTAAATAGCATTTATCTTCCATTTGAAATCTTATTTCACCAACAGTGTGAAGGTTAGGTCCCTGACACAGAGGTTGTGGGGGGCTTAATCTCCATAGTTTGGCATAAAGTGAGAGATTGCCGGTGCTGAAAGGGTGCTACCTTGAAAACTGACATTTAGTATTATCAATAGTGACAGTGCTCACCTTTGTTAAATCAACAGACATGAAATCAATGGTTCTATTATGGAGCAAGATGATTAAGACGCTAAAAACCATGAACAAGATGACGGAGCCATACTTCAGAGGGGTGAGAACTTTACACAACTTTCCTCTCATCATCAATGATGACCGTCTCCGTGGCTGAAATTAACAAAAAGGAGAAAAAGCAAGAGTTTACTTCTAGTCAAAGCTTAATTGACAATGTATAATTGCAGAAGACATCCTAATTGCATCATCACCCTCCATGTTAATCCTACCATTACTTATAACGGAGACAACAAGATTCTCAGTCTGTTGCTTAAAGTAGGGGATTACCCATATAAATAAATAAAAATGCCTGAAATATATATTAATTTATGACAGCCTATTATTTTTTTCTGCAGTTTTGTTTAGATTTTATTAGCTAAACTTTTTTTTTTACTGAAGGACCCCCCAACCCCCCCAGCTTTTTACTTTTTAAATCATTAACTAAGGCCAGAGACAGAGGCAGAAGCCTGTTTCTGTTAACTCTGAGGCCTCTGATGTTAAGTGTAAATATTTGAGGTTCATTGGGGGATTACATTATTTCACATTTCAGAAGGTTATGTTTATATAAGTCCATGACGCAGAGGGAAATATTTTTTTAGCTTTTGTTATTTTGGTGAATATGCCTTAGAGGTGAAACAATCTATATCAATATTACACAAGATCTATAAATATAGCATTGTAAGAATAGAAATATGAGGGTCTGAAAAGTATGTTAATTTCTATGAAGTCAGTAATTGGTTTGACTTCCCCCATAAATTATTGCATAATTAAGACATAATATGGAGATGATTAGTTCCTGATTCAGATGAATATGCAGCAAACAGTATTATCTTTGGAATTTCCTAATCCTTTTTTGACATGAATGCATCATCTATTGTAAAGTTGTTTTTTTTTACGATTATTTGGAGAAATTTGATTTAGAAATTTATGTTGGTTTTATTATAATTTAACTTATTAGTAATAAAAAAAGAAATTATACTCAGCTCTCTGATCAAATCATTTTAAACATTAAATCAGGTGTTATAAGCCAATAATTACTTTGTACATGAACCCTAATTTCACCAAGTAAGTTTTCTTGCATTACTGGTTCTGCTTCAACTTGAGTAAAAATGTTAAAACAGTGCTTGTTTACAGGGGTAAATTATTGGGGTACTATACTGGTGGCTCATTACCAGGTATTTGTCAAATTTGATGGAATGATGAAAAGTTAATCATATTTATTTAGCTGTGTTTGAGGCATGTTGCAAGACAGGTGCTATTGAGAACTAAAGTTGGAGAACCCATATCTAGAGAACACCGGTTGCAATGAGACTGCACAAATATCAGCAATATAAAAAAAAAAAAAAAAAATCTGTCAACATTTAAAATTTGAATACAAACACTCTTACCTCAGGAGTTATTTAGTTGAAAATTGATCAAGACTCTGTCGTCCTGCAGTTAACTAGATTCACCCCTACTTTACTTTCACAAAATTAACGCACGGGTAGTAAAAACAGAGCACCACAGCTTGTTTTCCTCTTACAGCGAGTACCTTGATCCAGTCTTTATAAAACATGCTTTTGATCTCGCCATATATTCCAGAGATGCTGTGAATTAAGAAATCAGTTCACCTCATTGAATGAGGACCATTTAGAAAATGGTTCTTTTTTCACTTTGGACTGATGAGTTGGCAAACAGATTACAGCAAAAGAAAACAAACCTAACCTCCGCCCCCATTTATTACCTCATAGAGAGTGCAAAAAAAGTTTGTAAATACTCAATATGGGAGTTCAATGATGCCTAAAATGTAATATTTCTTAATTGAAATTCTGTCTGTGTCAAATGTTAGGAGAGGACTACTAAACAATTGAAAGAAAACTCAGTTACTCACTAACTGACAGAATACTTTTACAATCACAGTTTTTTTGGGCCATGCAGTGAACCAGGCTGGGGTGATGCCTGACCCAGTGAAGGTAACTGCTGTGTCTAAGTGGCTCCTTCCATCTGTGAGAGATTTGAGGGCATTTTTTTAGGGTGTGCAGGCTATTACAGAGCCTATTTCATTCAGACTTGCAAAAATAGCTCTCCCGATAAATTCTTTATTAATGGGTATCTCCAAAAGTGATAAAAGATCTACTGATTGGAGACTGGGATGTCTAGTAGAATTCACCAATTGAAATAGGCCTTAATCAAGCTTGAATTTTGGCTTATGCTGATTAAACAAAGCACTTAAGTTTGTACACATATTCTAGGCTCAGTGGGCTTTGTATAGCACTTGCACAAACTCAGCATAGCAAGGAGCAGGTTATTGCTTATGCAAGTTGTAGCCCAATCCAGCTGAGAAGAATGACTCAAACTAGAGCTCATTCATACTTGAGTTATTGGCACTCCAATCGACCATCATGAAAAGTTAGATAGTATTGAGGGGAAGTAGAAGATTTTTCGGGTAAAAAAAAAATACTGGGATCATTATGAAAATTTGAGGTATAGATATTCGCATCCAATAGATGGTATTAGTGCAACTATACCATATATATATATATATATATATATATATATATATATTTATTAACAATGCAAGCTACCATTAAAACCTAAAGAAGAAGAAAAGAAGAAGTAGAACAAGACCAACAAACAGGAGGAAGTTGGAGAACAAACTGCTGGATATCGCGGTTGTGAAGTGGGCAAAAAATCTGAAGAGATAAGAAAAGCTAAATTAGAGCTTAGAATAATTTATGCTGAAGCTGCAAAAATAATCCCATCCCTGTCAGAAGAACCCAGTCCAACATTTAAGCAAATGACAAGTTCAAAACCTCTGGAGCAGTGTCCCAAAATTGCAGAAGATTCATTGATTGTAAGAAAGAAAGATTGTGTTCTTTTCATGGTAGAAGTGATTAATTGTAGTGCTCAGACAACAAAAAAAACGATAATTGTGAAAGCTACAGAAAAGTATGTTGAAGATAGAGATTGTCAGGGTTAGGTTGGAGGACCCAAATGCACAGGCAGAGAGGCTGAGGTGATTTCTTGCAGTTTAACTGGTGAAAACAGTAAACAACTTAAAATGTAAAACAAACCAGAACCATGGAGACATCAGGGGAAAAATATCAGCAAGGTGACGAGGAACCAGCAAAGAGTGACAGCAGAGGGAGAGCATATATGGCTGACTGGACAAAGGCAGGGCTAACGAGCTGATAAGGAGCAGGTGTGAGTGGAGAGCAGTCTAGGAAGGAGCTAGGGAAAAGGAGACCAACACAAGAGGGCAACAAATAAAAACCAAAGTACTCATATGTCCAGAAAATACAACAAAATGTGAATTAAACCAATAAAACTAGAAAACATGGAGCAAAGTAAAGCATAACAGAACCAAGACCATGACAGAGATTTAAACTGGGAAATGGTTGAAAGCATGATGATGGGAAAACAACTAGGACCATCAGAAACTGGCAGAGTGACGATAACTTAAAGATAAATTAGAAATTATGAGGTCGAATTTGATTTAGTATTAATTATGTTGTGTTTAGTAAAACAGTTGAAAAAAAAAATAAAAAAATAAATAAATATATATATATATAATTTTATTTATTTATTTTTTTTCCCCCCTCAGGGTGAGTCTTGTTTCCTGGTTTAACTCCTTATCAAACCGATATGGTCTGTATTTAAACATGAGATCTATCTTCTAAACTTTCCTTGGATCACCTCTCTAATTTATTTCAGCCTTCCCTAGATACAAATGAAAAAATAATGCTGACTTGTTTTTTTTTTTTGTTTTTTTTTTTTTTTTTTTTATTAATTTATCTTTCATTATAATTGTTATATTCGACATGTATAATTATAGATATCTTTGGATTTAGATAATTTTTCTCTCTTTCTGAAGTGCATTGCATAAACTAAACATCTGTTTACCCCGCAACTTGAAAGAAATTATAAGAAATATTAAGAAAAGTGTTAGGAGGTATGATTGACTATATATACATATATATATATATTTTTTTTTTATACCGTATTGTTTGAGTTTGTCATTGTTATTTTTTCAAATAAAGTTATAAAAAAAACCTCTTTAACACTTGGTGGCGGTAATGCAATTTTAAATAGTTTGCCAACTGCCATAAACCACTACCAGAAGAAGAAGAAAAAGGAGCAGAAGAAGAAGAACCGGGAGGAACCAATAATGCTGTAGGCTTTGCTTAGCGTCGTAGGGCGTCTGGAACGGAGCGGGGCTGTAGAATTTCGGGGTAGAGAACCGCTTGTAGTGTTCAAGTGCCGGTTTTGGATTGGGTTCTGGGTAGGAACATGGAACAGAACGTGGCTTAGTTCATTGTAAAACCGGATGTTTTGGACCTTTAGCTCGACGGTCTTTATTCAGACATCACCTATAAACCTCTGTTCCCAATTACCGTAATTACTTCCACCTGGAATCTGCAGCATATTTACCGTAAGTTCATGTTTTATTGATCATCCAGCAGCAAATTAAAATGGACATAAAATAAAAGAAAATGAATAAACTAAGCTATAAATGGTTAAATATGCTGTAATGTTAATAATTACTTACCAAGTACAGGATATTAATGCAGTGATTTTGTGGATTTAACAAACTTGGGGGGGAAAAAAGCTGAAACAAAACAGAGAAGATGTATCTTCAAGTGGAGAAAATCTATCAGATCATCATCCTCCACCTTTCTGAGATCAGCATCTTTAAGGTTATTACAATTAATAACTCATTTATAAATACTGTTGATAAAATAAAAATATTACATGTTACACATGATATTCAAAAAACCTAAATCAATGAATCAATGGTTAATTAGTGATCTGTTTCTATGCTTCTTTTCTTTATTTCTGTTCCTTTAAAACCCCCAGAGCTAAATGTTTAGAATCATCGCAGCAACAATGGAAGAGAAGACTCTGTTGGACCAGTAGATGTCTTAAATATTCCCATTTTACTTCTGTCAGCATGTAGAACTGGACTGGCTGCAGAAATTATGAACAATGTGTTGATCTAATTTAAATATTTGGGTTTTATTTTAGCTCAGATAAAGTCCCTCTGCTTTCTAACTTATGATTTCTGCTTCTCTGAGACTCTGAGCCTGTGTTTGCATTCAGCTCCTTCCCCTAAATTATTCCCATACCTCTGCTTTTCTCACAGGTGGAACAGGGAGGACATTTAACTCATGATTAACCTGGTAAGTTAACAGCTGCTGCTTATTCTCAACCATCATTCCCACCAAGCCACTGGGAACTGCTGATCCAAAGATGAACTTGGACGGCATCATCAGCTGCCTGGTGGAGACAGTTGACTCTAAAAGCATCATTACTGTCAATCCTGGTGAGAAAACACAACATTTACACACTTTCTCACATTTTTTTTTCCAACTCTGCCACTTTTTTTTTTAAATTATTGTTTATACACTATTAAGGTCCACTTTTCTGTAATGCTGCTGTAACACCACAATTTCCCCATTGTGAGACAATAAAGAGATTTTCTATTTCTATTCTATTTCCAATCAAATTGTAGGATAGCGCCATCTGCTGCTCCATTTTATATAACCAACAATATCACTTCATCAGAAAAAGGAGGTTTTGATGTTTTCATGTTGTCTCTTGTTTTCACAGGAGAGGCCAGCTTGTTGTTCAACAATGCTGGAGATGCTCCTGATTCTGGAGCTCTGGACCAAGATGAGAAACCACAGGATCTGCCTGGTTGGTTCCAATGAATATAATGATGGACAGGGTTCCCTCTATGAATTTTAATTCATATCATTCATATCTGAAATAAAACTATAACAATCAACTAATTCACTTTGGTTAAAATGCAAGACACATTAGCCTGACTTTAGGAAATAATGTCTGAATTCACAAATCACACAGACTATGAGAAGAATAAAGGATTCAAACTGTGTGGTGTTCAGGTCATGCAGTTCCAGAGGAAAAAAAGGAGACTTGAATATAAACTAAATGTGAGAAGGGCTTTGTGCAATTAGCTCCAATTATGGCTGAGTGTGGGATTAACTTGACATACTGAAACATGGAGAGTGAGCAGAGTGACATGCTAGCTACACCCTAGATAGGGGAAGGATTTAGTATCCCTCATTTTCAGCTAAGTTTAGAGAGGTTGTGGAGCCCATACGGCAAGAGCTGTATGAGTTTAAGCTTTTATCTTCAATATACTGACCCAGCAAAACCTGATGCTGTAAAGGCAACAAAGCACAATCTCAGTTCTTGGGGCTCACCTGAAAGATTTTCCCATAAAGTAAACCACAAACAAAAACAGAGAGAGAGAGATAAGGTAGAGGGTTTGAAAAAACAGGGCAGAGAGATGGATAATGGGAGGAGCACATTTTAATGTTTGTTAAAAATATCTTTCAGTCACATTGGCCATATTTTGTTTGCCAGATGTTATAGTATGTGAGAAAATAATCCTGTTCAGAGGAGGGGTTTATTAAAAGTATGTGGTGAAAAAGGAAACTCCCAGTGAAATAGTAGCAGGCGGCTTAATGTCGTCATGCAAATTTGTACTTGTTGGTTGCAATAGAGTAATTTTAACTGTTGTGCATGGTGGACCTAGAGATACTTTAAGTATATTCAATATATCACCCACCCCTACTCACAAATGAATAAGGATAGGAGCACATTTAGGTGCACTATGAATTTTCTTAAATAGAACAATAAAAAATAAATAAACAGTATTATAATTCATGTTTCATCAGGCTGTCCTTTTACAGCAGGATTATTTTTCAAGTTTCTCTTTTAATACTAGTTTGATAATCACTGTTTTGTGAGAAAACACCCAACCCAATGTCTTTATGATTTCAATCAAATTAGACTTTAAAACGGGTAAAACCTTCTCAATAAAACCTGTGGTGAAAAACATAACAGTAACATGGCATCCAAAACCAAGCAATGTTTTAATGATACCCTTTATGATGTCTTAAGTGAGATTGATCAAACTTTAAAACGTCAACAACAAGCTATAGAAAGCTGTAGAAGGTATGTATTTGCTATTCTCGGCTTGATATGTTTCACAGACTACAAAATCATAAAAACAGAACACGTCACATGGAGATTTTGTGTCATATCTGCAGTTATCTGATTGGTTCTAACTTTAGATCGAGTTCCAACCAAATTATTTAATAATGTATTACCTCTGATTTCCAACTCCATTTTAGATATGATGAATCTATCCCTGTAATCTAAACCTTCAGTTTGTGGAGTGGACTAAATTAAAATTTTGACCTCTACAGAATCGCCTTGTGATACTGAGGAGATGGAAAAATAAAACAGATACTGCATTTTCTGAAAATTTTCTGCTTAAGTGAAACCTTTTGGGGGCTGAACACTCCATTAAATTATGTTTGAAGGTTATTTGATCAGAGAGGACATGGTTGTGAGGAAGCATTGTTTTATCTTTACAATCAATGCCGTATGTCAACACAAGATCCAAAGTATGAAAATAAGAATGTGTAGGACTATGCACATTTTGAACAAAATCAATTGAAATAAAGGCTGCTCTTAAGTTTTCTCCTCCAGGGTTGGCACAAGTGTTAAAATAACCAGCTATAACACCCTTGTCAATATTTATCACTAAAACAGAGCAGTTGTATATAATTGAAATGGAGATAAAAAGATGCTGAATGGGAGGACAGAAATGGCTTCAACATTTAAATAAAAATTAAACGTAAAGCATAGAAAAGTAGCAATTAAACCCAAGAATTAGGTGTAATCATAGAACATATATAATTTTATTTAAAAATTAGGTCTAAATACCTCCACACATTAAATATGTGTTTCAATGTTTCCTGCAGATGTTAAGAAGACGATTAAAGAAGAAGTTCCTGAAGACCACAAACCTTATGCTATTAAGCCTGACCCAGAGGCCGTCCACATAAAGGAGGAACTGGAGGAAGTCTGCACCAGTCCAGTGGGAGATCAGCTCAGTTTCAAAGAGGGGATTGATGCCACAAAGTTTCCAAAAACTGCTAATCCCCTAAAGAGTGAAGAAAATAAACATTCCTCTGATGTTCAACAGCCTTATCAAGGCCACATTAAAGGCAGAGAGATTCCAGAAGAGAATGATGGAGAAGAATCTATGAGGATAGAAGATCATGCAGATAGGTCATTTTCCTCAGAGACTGAAGATGTTAATCAGTCCATGTTTGAACCAAAACACCTATTAGCAACTGGAATGAAAACAAAGGACCTGGACTTTCACTGGAAGAAGGTGACAGCTTCTGATTCACATGGACACATGGCCAACAGACCGTCTGACTCCTCTGACTTTACTCAACAATTAGTTCAAAATCTTCAGAAAGGCATGAGACATCCAGAAATAGGCTCTTCAAGCTCAGTGGATAATATTGAATTTTTTACAATGAAGAAAAATGTAGGCTCACAAAGAAATGTCCTTAAAAGGCTGAAGACCTGCTGTGAAGACTCTAGTAAAAAATTTACTGAAAAAGAAAAATTAAAAATACATAAGAGAATTTACACAGGTGAAAAACTTTTCGGTTGTGACTTATGTGGAAAGAAATTTAGCCAGAAAGGACATTTTAACTTACACAAAATGATCCACACTGGAGACAAACCTTTCTGTTGTGACCTATGTGGACAGAGATTTACCGGGAAAGAAAGTTTAAGCAGACACATGATGATCCATGCAGAAGACAAACCTTTCAGTTGTGACCTATGTGGACAGAGATTTAGGCACAAAAGAAATATTAACAGGCACATGAGGATCCATGCAGAAGACGAACCTTTCTGTTGTGACTTATGTGGGCAGAAATTTAGGAAGAAAGGAAGTTTCAACACACACATTAGGATCCACACAGGAGACAAACCTTTCTGTTGTGACCTATGTGGAAAGAGATTTAGACATAAAGGAACTTTCAACAGACACATGACGATCCACTCGGAAGACAAACCTTTCTGTTGTGACGTATGTGAGCAGAGATTTGGCCACAAAGGACATTTAAACTCCCACATGATGAGCCACACAGGAGAAAAACCTTTCTGTTGTGACCTATGTGGAAAGAGATTTAGCAAAAAAGGAAATTTAAACCAACATATGATGATCCACAAAGACAAACCTTTCTGTTGTGACCTATGTGGGCAACGATTTAGGCAGAAAAGCGGTTTAAAATCCCACATGATGATCCACACAGGGGATAAACCTTTCTGTTGTGACATATGTGGACAGACATTTAGCAAGAAACAGAGTTTAAAATTACACATGATGATCCACACAGGAGATAAACCTTTCTGTTGCGACCTGTGTGGGAAGAGATTTCGGCACAAAGTACGTTTAAACTCACACATGAGGGTCCATGCAGGAGACAAACCTTTCTGTTGTTACTTATGTGGACGTAGATATAGAGAGAAAGGAAGTTTAAACAGACACCTGATGATCCACGCTGGAGTCAAACCTTTCTGTTGTGATATATGTGGGAAAAGATTTAGGGAGAAAGGAAGATTAAACTCACACATGATAATCCACACAGGAGACAAACCTTTCCTTTGTGACCTATGCGGAAAGATGTTTGGCTTGAAAGGAAACTTTAAATCACACATGAAGATCCATGCTGAAGAAAAAAAAACACTAACTGCTGCACAGATTCAGAGTGAGGACGTAACCAGTACTGCTAACATAGCATTAAAGTGAATTGATCAATTTGTATGATATTAATCAAATGGGCATGATATGGCTTATCAGATACTAATATGTTTTGAGTGTTATTTGCAAAGTTGTGTGCTCTCTTTCATCCCCTGACTTTGGAACTGGCTTGGAGCTTTGTCTGCGTTACTGTATTTTTCCTGGCCTGGGTCACCTGCGGAGCTTGTTAACAGTTCTATATCTGCTTTGTTTTGTGTGTGAGCTTCTGTTTCCTTAAACCAAAGCTGGTCCCAGCAGAAGGCATCTCACACTGGTCCTGGTTCTGCTTGAAGTTTCTTCCTGTTAAAGGGAGTATTTTCTCTCCACTGTCGCTGCATACATGCTTGGTGTGAAGGATTACTGAAGAGTCCTATACAAGTGCAAGCGAAAAATTGTCGCCGTAACTTCATTCAGGATGAGCAGGTCTTGCAAGTCAATGACTTGATGCATTCAGCTGATTTTCCATGATATAAATCAGGGTTGGGCAATAATTTTTTCCAATGGGCAACATGAGAGACAGAAAATGTGGAGGACCAGACCAAAAGACTTGAACTCAATCATGCATATTAATTGTATTTCTTTATAAAAAGCATTGGTTTGACAATTGTATATGTTAAGATTAAGCAATGAAAAATCGAGGTTGCCTCACAAAAAATGTAATTTATTCATTCAAATTAACCAAAACATTAAAAAACAAAATGTGAACATTTTATACCATTTGTTGATCTTGGTTTTGGTTGCTGCATTCCTGGATGTGTGAAGCTTGGTAAAAAAAAGCATTGCTGCTTTTACAGCTAAACTAGCAAAGCTTCCAATGCCCACGGCCTTTCAGCATCATTCAAGTTTCTGTGGTTCTCTGCATGTTTCGTCTGTTGTAGTCCTTAAACATGGCGATCTGCTCGCCGCAAACTAGATGCACAGCTTTTCCTCTGACTTTTATAAGTAAATACTTAGCTGTCCAATTCTTGTTGAAAACTCTGAATTTGTTATATAGCTGTGAGGGACCGAGCCAAAAAAAAAAAAAAAATCAGAGAAGCACAGGAAAGTCATTGATGAAAAAATGGTAACAAATTTATTTAACAAAAAATAAAGTTCAAACTTCTAACAAGACAGGGCCCATCAAGGAAAACCAAAGACAAAAGTCAGCATAATCCAAACCTGACACAGGAAAAGATCTACTCAACTAACACACAAGGGAAACATATATAAACACTGGTTGATCAGACCATTTTAAAACAAGAGGGAAACATAAAATAAATTTTCCTAAACAAAACTACAACAAAAGACCAAACTAATCAGCACCATACTAAATCAACAACCTATGAGGAAGAGGACTTCAATATTAAACTTTCCAAATTTTATTATAGAAAACAAAACCAAATAAAGAAACTTAAACCCTTTCTACACCCCTTCTAAAAGTAAGTGGAAGAGTCCAACTAGGCCTCCATGTCAATGAGGAGATACTTTGCAGCTGGGGCCTCCTTTCCTTTACTGGCTTCACTCATGGCAGCCTCCCAGGAACTGGCAACTCAAATGAAAAATATATTGAAGTGCAGAAAACCAAACAAACAAGAAATGACAAAATGAGCCAACTGAATGTGTGCACCCAAATAGTTAACCAATGCCAAATCAAACTAAAAAAATAAATAAACTACAGTACAGTAAAATATAAGATTTAATGAAAGAATTACCAGATCATTTGTTGTGTGGTTGCACATGCGGCCATCACAATAGCGTTCTTTTTTTTTTTCAGGGCAAAATAAAAGCAAAGCAGCCTCAGTCCATTCATTAGATGAATATGTTTATTTTGAAATTTCCAATTAACTTTAGACAGGCCATATGCATTACAATGCCCATACCTCGTGGGCTGCACAGGATCCTGTACAATGCCCAGGTCTGATATAAACTTTTTACCAATCTGAATGTATTGTCTCTGTATTGTGCCTTGAGACAAAATGTGTTATGAATTGGTGCTATATCAATAAACTGAATTAAATAAAAGACTCTTAAACCTTGAACCTTAACTCCCTAGATTTTGATCACACCTGTGTGTAATTCATGCTTTGATTTGTTTTGTTCCTTTTTGTAAATAAAACCTTCCTTTTTCTGACATGCATAGGAAACCCATTCCTCAAGCTCGTGCTCCATCCTCCAGAGCTCAATTTCATGCATCTAACAGTTACAGATAAAATGTTACTAAAGCAGGAAGAGACACACAGCTGTTAACCGCTGATAAAACACTAAAAAGTTCTGTTCAATCTTCATCTGACTAAGGCTACGTTCATACTGAAGGCATTAATGCTCAATTCCAATTTTTTTGTGAAATACAATTCTTTTGCGTGGTTCCCATTTCAAAATATATGCGACTTTCATGTGATCTCTTGTGTGAACTTCATTCATTCATCTCTCGATGCGCAGTAGACGATGCAATGACGTCACAAGTGAGCATGCTCTGTTTAACAAAGCAAACATGGATGGTAGTGCTGGAGCGCATCTTTCCCAACCTCAGCCTGTGCATTAACCACACAATCTTTTCCAGATGGTTGGAAATAAAGACTGGTCTCTGCGTTATTATGCATTATTATTATTATATTTTTATTATTATATATTATTGTTATTTAAGAGTTTTTCTTTATATTAAAAAAAATATATTTCTTTAAAAGCTTCAAGGTCATGTGACCCACTGACTTAAAATCTGTGTGAACATTTTCAACTACATTAGCCTAATGGGACGTACACATTTTTATTCCATTTTAAGCCTTTGTATATTTTTAAGAGTTTTTAATAAAATTAAAGGACAGTAGCTTCCAGGTCATGTGACTCATTAACTCAAAATGTGTCTGGATTGTTCTAAATGGGAATATAAGGCACACTCATTTTCATTTCATTTAAAGTCTTTTTTTTTTTAGGATTTTTTTATTCAAAATGTAGTGTTTTTCTTCAATAGGGTCCAGGTCTCAAATGTTTCTACTACATCAGATAGATGAGGCCCAATGTAAATGTCACAGTCTTGGTTTTCCATTAGTTGTCCTCTGCTGCCCTCTTGTGTCCTCTTTCCCTATCTCTGTTTTCTGCTCTGCCCTCACCTGTTTTCAATCCCCTCGTTAGCCCTCTCTTTGTCTCTGTCTCCTTTAAAAGCCTCCCTCTTCAGTTCCTGTTTGCTGGATCCTCGTCTAACGTCTGTCTGTTTACCTCGTCTCTCCCTGGCTCCTAGAGTTTGGTTTTCCCCTGATGTCTCCCTGATTCTGGTTCGTCTGTTATTTCTGTTGGATTTTTTTTTATTCCTGCCTCAGTTCCTGTAAACCTCATTAAACCCACCTAAATTCACCTCTGCCTATCTGCCTCTGCATTTGGGTCCTCCAAACCAACACCAAATCCTGACAGTAAATGCTGTATGAAAAAAGTAGTTAATTTTTATATGATTTGCAGTATATAACACATTTTTTCGTATTTAACACTGTAAAGTGCATTTACATTCTTGTCAAATTAAGCAACTTAGTAGCATGAAGAAATATAGCTAGAGATGGCCAGGCTGAAGGACAACACAGAAGCACAGGAGCAGGCCCTGAGCATCAGGGCAATAGATGCCCCTATCTGCCATACTCAGCAAGATCCCAGGTGCAGGTTATGCAAAGAGGTCCCAGAAAAAATCCACAATCTCTTAGCAGGCTAATAGACTCTGGAGAGAAAGGAATCCATGGAACATCTTAGTGGCTAATAGAGTACAGAAACATCTGTGCAGAATCCAAACTTAAGACCCCCCAGGTCAGAATGGGAGCCACCTCCCAAGGCGGTGGAGAATTAAATGTGAGTTAATTGTGAATAGTCCCACAGATTCTCATCTTCATACTTCGGACCCTGTGCTGACATATGGCACTGAATGTGCAGAAATAAACAGTATTTCCTCACAACCCTGAAACATCCTGCCTAAAATGGGTCAAAAGTTCAATACTTTCACCCTCACAGAAGGCCCCTCGCACTAAGCTAAATTCGAGGTTTTCTGCTGGAGGTTTCTTCCTGTTAAAAGGGAGTTTTTCCTCTCCAGTGTCACTATATGCATGCTTGGTGTGAAGGATTGCTGTCAACTCAATGAGTTGAAGCATCACCTGGTTTTCCTTAGAAAACTTTGAACCAGTCTGACTGTATGATCTGGTTGAATTGTCTCTATAAAGTGCCTTGAGATGACATGTGTTGTGAATTGTTACTAAATAAATAAAACTGAATTTAATTGAATTTTATACCATCCGCCAATACTTCCTCACACATTCAACAACTTGGCAGCAAAATATAAATGTTTTGGCAGCTCAAGCTCCTGCTTCAGTGATTGGTAAATGTATTTTTTTGTTTGCTGTGTCTTACCCATTTTCACACTTTATTTCAGACTTTTCTTTCAAACCTCAGCTGGACACTGGTGACTTGCTTGGCTCCAGTTTTCATGTAAGATTATACAACCAGCAATGTGGTTTATTTATGGTAAATATACGTTAAAGCAGTATTGTTAGTAAAAAATGGAGCGCAAAATTGATCAAATATAAGACAATAGGGTATTATAATTAAACTAGAAAGTCCTTGCATACAATCCGTGAGCTATAATCCATAAAGTAAGAGTATTTGACTTTAAAAATGATTTAAAGGTAGAGCAGAGGATGTTCTTTATCAGTCCAGATCATCAAAATAAGTGGTCGTCCTAATTGTCAATCGTTCTGGTGATAGGTTTTTGTAAGGCCATCCTACGTGCTCGTCCCCATTTTCACTTACCTGTGGTGAGTCTGACATAGTGGAAACATTTCTAATCTTCTTTTGGAAAGTAAGCTTGTATCAGCGATGCAAACAGCAACTTTTAAACAGAGCGTGCACGAGGAGAAAATGGGCTAAAGCATGTTCACATGTAAGTTTTCAGGTTTGAGTGCCTTAAAATATGTGCAAATGTGTCTGTACCTGCAGATTGACTCATCAAAGAAGGCCCAAAGATATACAGTATACTGTAGAAGGGCTGAAACTAAACATTATTTTGCTAATCGATTAATTTGTTGATTATCTTTTAGATTAATCGATTAATTATCAGCTAGCCAAAGGTTCCTTAAACATTATTTTTTACAAAATTAAAAGTGAAATTAAAACTTTTCCATTTGAGGAGTTCTGAGAGCATTTTGATGGACAAAATTGTTTGTAATTTTCTTCTTAAATGCAAAATATTTTTATATATTCTTAGAGACTCTATTTCTTAGAGTCTCTATAATATATATATATATATATATA